TGCGACTCCTGGAAGTCATCATTACACTCTTGGATCTTTTGACTATTTTTCTCTATTGTTAAGTTCATATTTCGGAGCACCTCATCGATGTTATGCATGTATGTGTGACATTGGTTACACATAAAGCGCACAAAGTTGTTTTCTTTGAGTACATTCGCACTGTACTCATCCAATTCAGAGCATTTTTTTGCCCAGTGCCACACTTTACCACACACACCATCACAGCGGATTCCGCTGTCACCGCGAATTGGATTCTTGCACTTATGGCATTTATCCATTTTCGCGCCTTATTGTTTTTGTCACCTCACTGCACTTTTATGTCTCTAGCTATATTTATTTGTTTGTTTAATCAAAATGAAACAAATTTTTGTGCTTGCAAATAGCACAGTTTATTAGCACTTCGCTATTTAAGTCACTGGCTCTAACGCTGGTTAAAATCACAACAATTCGGCTGTTTTTTTTAAATTTTCCGCAGAGCGATTACAAACACGTCAACAACGTTGCAGTGTTACCACCTATTTTTATATTTAGGGCCTCCAAAATTAATTTAAGTGCTCACTCGGTTTCCGAGAAAATTGCAAAATTATATGGGTCAGCCAGCGTGACGTCACGCTAGCTGGCCCACCCAACTGCACCTAAATTGCACCTAATTCCTGAATAATATTTACCAGTGTTCGAGGAAAATTAGTGGGTGGGTCAGCTAGCGTGACGTCACGCGGGGCCCCGCCCCTCCCCCTCCGCCCCCCACCCAAAAAACGGTGTGAGCGGTACTAAACATTTCCCCTAAAGGCATATATATTATTTAGAAACTGCAAGTTCTTACCTTTAATTTGATATACATATTTTATTATGATCTACTTTTGAGGTTTAAGAATTTAGTGATAAAAAAATTAAAAGCATTTACAAGTAAAAGTGACAAGTGTGGGTGATATCATAGTTTCCTTTGCCCATAACTTCTATCTGCGTAGGCGGCCTTCGGCCGCACTTAGTGATTATAACCCTCACTAAGTAGAATTCTCCTTTCTGTGTTGCCAAGAAAGGGGGGCGGAAGCATAAGAGTGATACCATAGTTTCTTTTGCGCAGAACTTTTTTCTGCGTAGGCGGACTTCGGCCGCGCTTATGGATCATAACCCTTACTAATTAAAATTATCCTTTCAATGTTGCCAGACAATAAAAACACATCACTTTTTTCCACTTCAAAAACAAAATATTCGACTTCCTCCTATAAATTATTAATTTATTCATAAAAGGGCTTACAGAAATCATTAAAAGCTACACCTACTCTTCTTCCATAACCTCAATTTCAAAATCCTCTGCTTCTTCCGGCATGTATGGATTCAGTGGATTGTATAATGCACCAGCCAGTTTAAAAAAATTGCTCAGCGGATCCAAACCTGCATGTTTGCAATGCCTCACAAACATAAATTTTGCCAAATATCCACTAAAAAACTTTTTGTTTCGATGGTACTNACAACACCAAATGGGTCTTTAAAATTAACCGAATGGTTAACTTTAAAGTGAACGTACCCTTCATCACTTAGGCAGTCATACGCCTGCAACGAAAAACATTTTAAATTTATATATATATATATTTATATTTATATACACATATATGGGCACTTAGGCATTAAACTCACCTTCCAAAAATCGGAAACTATGGTCGTGTTAGGAAGAATCCAATTCTTTATAACTGCCAATAAAGTTTCCTTATCCCGCGTTTCAACGGGAACAAGAAAACACTTATTGGTACCACGCTCCACTCCACCAAAAACCCATTGCCCTTCAACTGCGTGTCCACGATGATACTTCCGGCGTCCGAATTTGCTTGCGTCTATCTCAACAATAGACCCGACACCTCCAATTTTCCGCCCCTTTACAACCATGCCGTCATACACTACCTCACGGCAAAAATTACACCAATCAACTGCGGTCGGTCTTGTAATACTTAACTCCTCAATTATAAAATCTTGTGTCACATTCTTCAACCAAAAGTAAGAAAATGCAATGAGCTTCACCATCGATAGCCTCGACCTATCAAAGAATGTNTTACAACCATGCCGTCATACACTACCTCACGGCAAAAATTACACCAATCACCTGCGGTCGGTCTTGTAATATTTAACTCCTCGATTATAAAATCTTGTGTAACATTCTTCAACCAAAAGTAAGAAAATGCAATGAGCTTCACCATCGATAGCCTCAACCTATCAAAGAATGTGTTTTTTCTTAATGAAATTTGCTGATTACACGTTCGCACTTGCTTTCCAGACTTCGAAATTTTACGGTACCTACACATAATTTTTTTTTNCGATAGCCTCAACCTATCAAAGAATGTGTTTTTTCTTAATGAAATTTGCTGATTACACGTTCGCACTTGCTTTCCAGACTTCGAAATTTTACGGTACCTACACTTAAAATTTTGTTGTATTACAGTTTAATAGACACACGGTAAACTTACCTCCAAACGAATTCATCAGATGATGCAGGGTCTTCATGTGTCGGCATGGTATATTGATAGCTGCGGTCCAAGAGACGAAGTTGCACAGCAATTCAACTTTTCGTAAAGTGGGGGCTGTCCCCTTTCAAATAGGAGGGGTTGAGGGGCCCGCGCCCTCTCCCCCTCCGCCCCCCACCCCAGATGTGTTTGGGCTAGCAAAATATGAGCATATTTCAGCTTGGAGAACGCGCCTACTTGGCTGCTATATTTCTGACTATCTTAAAGCTAGAAATTGTATACTCATTTTTCGTCTCATGACAGATAAAGCTCCCAAATATCTATATGAAAAATTAACGTTCCCCAAATCAACTCGAGTAAAGGAGTGCTCGCGGAAGAGCCCTCGCCACGGCACGTCAGGATGCATCTTTACGAACTGACAGACGAAGTCCAGAGGTATATCAAACAACCTCTGGACCCGTGAACTTACCGACAGGCCCTGAACGGCATTCACAGGGAATCAGTCTCAAGTTATGTAGACTCCCGCCCTGTGAATGCCGTTCTAGGCACACAACCGGCGGACGTGGACGGGACAGAACTTTGTCTGCCTCGGGAGACCAGCACTACAATAGCCCAACTTCGCTCTGGCTATTGTAGCAGGCTCAACAGCTACCTGAGCGGAATCAACGAGGATGTGCCCAACCAATGCTCGGCATATGGAGAGTCGCCACATGACTCCCGGCACCTCTTCACATGCCCTGAGAATCCCACTCAGCTAACGCCCCTGTCCCTATGGACAGCCCCTATGGAAGTAGCACACTTCCTGGCCCTCCCCCTAGCTGAAATAGACGACAACGTTGATGGATGAAGCGCCCCGAACGGGGCTTAGTAGCCGCTACAACAACAACAACAACTTGACTGTTCCTACCTACAATTATCTCAGCTCTGCACAGCTATTCTCTGTCAATGCTATCCGCATCTGGAACTCTATTCCATCCCATATTCGCAGTAGTTTAAACAAAAGCAACTCTAAAAATGTTCTGTATGCGTATTTCCGTTAGCTTCACTTCAGTCCCTGCGATGTGCTCTCTATGTTGTTGTTGTATCCCCGTATCAGGGATCTCAACGCGGAGATTCGGCAACTTGTAAACGTACATAAGCGGAAGAAGTGGGAGGAGCATCTGAAGACTAGTAATTTCACCTCTGGTGTGAGCAAGCTTTGGTCAACCGTGAGGTCATTGTCTAATCCGACGAAGAACGACGACGGAGTCGAAATTTCCTTCGGCGACCATGCCTCGTCGGACCCGGAGCGATGCGCGAGCTATTTTAGCCACGTCCATAAACCTAGCTGACCCAAGTCGCCAAAAATCAATAAAAATTAGCTAGAAATTAGGTGTCTTTTAGGTGTTAATTAGGGCCTCCAAAATTAATTTAGGTGTTCCTTTGGTTTCCGANTTTTTAAATTGTCCAAATATATGCTGGAATTAGGTGTCTTTTAGGTGTTTTTCAACGCCACTAAAAC